GGGGCACTTTCTGGGGCCTTCTTTGCTATTTATACTTCTTAATGACAACCGTCAAACTGCATTTTTAACTGTTGAACTATCCCTCCATGGTCGCTGATCATGCTGCCTTATAATTAGCTCCACTATGCTATATCTGCAGTTAGGCTTCCCTTCTGATTTTGAATTTAAATATGAGTAACCGTTGAAGCCACGTCATCTTGCATTTCTTCGCTGATTCAGTGCTATGCAGATCCACAATAAGCCAATGCTGACTGCCACGTGTGTGTTTATGATTGAAGATTTGAATTGTCGTCTCGAATTGCCCTCATCCTGTCACGTGTCAAACTGTGATTGGCTTTTACAAAATATGTAGCCAACAGTTTCCCTCCCCTGTGAGAGCTTTTTCTCCTCTTCTATGGAGGCTTCAATCATTCCTTCTATGAAACTTATTTATTTCTTTTTGAGATTTTGTGATACCGTTATATTAGATTAATCCGATCTTTTATCGATTTTGCAATGAAAATTTTCTTTCTAATCTAAAAAAAATAAATTAAAGTAATTAAAAGGCCTCTCTAATTTTATTACTATTTTCTTTAGAACAATAATTGTTCTCATCACTAACAGAAGAAGGAAAGAAAAAAAAATTGATTGCTTCTTCAAACTTTTCTATAACTGGTGCAAAGATTGTGGAAATCAAAACATCAAAAAAAGTTCCTTTTATACTAAACCATTTTGAGAGTAGATTTCAATAATTCCAAACGATAATAATTTCTTGAAAATTTACTGAAATGTAAGAATTTTAAAGACATTGACGGTTTAGGTTTATTTTCCGAATTAGGGAAAAGAAAGGCCTCATTTGGGAACAGGTTAATTTAGTAACGTTTTGGTTATTTGGCTAAAAAGGTAGGTAAAAAAACTTGTATGTTTGGGATGACTTTTTGGCTAATTACCAAAAGATGTGCAAAAAGTAGAGAGAAAAGAGAATCTTTGACTTTTTGGTATGAGTTGTTGATTTTTTGGCTAATTTAGTAACTTTTTGGCTAATTGGCTAAAAAAGTAAGTCCCCAAACGGGGCCAAAATACATCAATTGACTTATTAAATTACTAGCATATCACTCGTGCTATGCACGGGATTAAATTAAAAAAAAATATTCATAATTATGTCAAACATACTTTTAAATTGTTAGTATAAAATATATGTAATTTTAAAAGAAAATATTGACATTGCGTAATTAAAGTAATAAAAATAAGAACTTATTACATTTGTTCGAAATTCACTGAATAAGTGAAACAAAAAATAATTAAAATCTAAATTGTTGTGGACCTTCCATCAGCATTCCTGCATTGTCAATATGATAGTTAGTATCATAATTAATGAACAAAAGGGTGTGTTTGGTAACGTTTACGTTTTCAGTTTATATTTACAAAAATTTTATAAACTGGTTTTTGTTTATTTTTAAAAAAACATAAACTAAGACCAATCTATAATTATAATTTTTTTTTCCGTCAAAATACAATCTAATCATCATCAATAATTGGTACATTATGTGACCCTAATGAGTACAATCCATTTTGTTTTTCAAAAAATACTGTGAGTTAAAAATCAAATAACAAATTAAGTGAATTGATAGTTAAAAAAACACAATAATTTTTTTTCAAAAAACACAGTAAGTTAAAAAAATCAATTACAATTTTTTTTTTTCAAAATACAATCTAATCATTAACAATAATTGGTACTTTAAAAATTAAATAAAAAAATCAAATCAAATCAAATCACAAATATTTTTATGCTATCTAACTACAATAATATTTTTTCCATAAATAATTGTAAAAAAAAATCATTAAAACAGTAAATAAAAGATTAAATTACATTAAAAAAAAAAGAACCATTGAACAAATTACAATCACATCACATTTTTTCCATAATAAAAAAATAAATAAATGAAAAAAAAAGCATTGACTAACTATAATAACATTAAAAAAAAAACATTGAACTAACTACAATCACATTTTTTTCTTTGTGAGTGCTTTATATTTATCTAACTTCAATCATATTAAAAATAAAATTAAAATAGTAAATAAAAAGATTCAATAACATTAAAAAAAACATTGAACTAACAACAACAATCATATTAAAAAAAAGAGCCATTGAACAAACTACAATCACATCACATTTTTTCCATAATAAAATAAATAAATGAAAAAAAAAGAACTATTAAACTAACTACAATCACATTAAAAAAAAAAAGAATCATTCAACTAATTATAATCACATTTTTCTCTTTGTGAGGGTTTATATTTATCTAACTTCAATCATATTAAAGAATCAAAAATAAAATTAAAATAGTACATAAAAAGATTAAATAACATTAAAAAAAAACCATTGAACTAACTACAACAATCATATTAAAAAAAAGTGTCATTGAACAAACTACAATCGCATCATATTTTTCCCATAATAAAATAAATAAATGAAAAAAAAGAACTATTACACTAACTACAATTACATTTAAAAAAAAAATCATTCAACTAATTATAATCACATTTTTCTCTTTGTGAGGGTTTATATTTATCTAATTTCGATCATATTAAAAAATCAAATTATAATTTTTTATTCGCTAGACAAATTACAAATATTTTTATGTGCTATCTAACTACAATATTAAAACAGTAAACAAAATGAAAAGTTAAGAAGAAGTAAACAAAAGGAAGACTTACTGTTTGCATACATGGTCACTGAAGTTGAAAGTGTAGAAGTGAGAAGTCAAGAAGGAGAAAGCAGAAAAAAAAAGAACTATTAAACTAACTGCAATCACATTAAAAGAAAAAATTATTCAACTAATTATAATCACATTTTTTTCTTTGCGAGGGTTTATATTTATCTAATTTCAATCATATTAAAAAATCAAATTATAATTTTTTATTCACTAGAAAAATCACAAATATTTTTATACGCTATCTAACTACAATATTAAAACAGTAAATAAAAGGAAAAGTCAAGAAGGAGAAAACGAAAAGAAGACTTACTATTTGCATGCATGGTCACTGAAGTTGAAAGTGTAGAAGTGAGAAGTCAAGAAGGAGAAAGCAAAAAGGAGACTCATTGTTTGCAATAGATATGTGAAAAATTAAAAAGAGTGTATGTATTGGAGAAGTTAAAAAGACTTAAAAGAATTTAATAAGTGTTAAATTTTTTTTTTTCAAAAAAAATCAAAAAAATTAAGAGAGAGAGAGAGAGAAAAGAAGCAAGGAACATGAGCGCTTAACCGAGGAGGTACCCCCAAAGGCAAATGCCCTTTTTATCATCACACATATACACACCACATTGCCACATAGCCATAGCCTCTCTCTCTCTCCATTTATCAACCGTAGTGTAATTATAATCTTTGAACCAATCACCAAGCAACCCCCAATATTATATTAGAACTCTCACAAAATTTGTGAGTTAGATATAGATATAAATAAATAGATAAATATAGATATAGATATAGATATCGATATCGATATTTATATTTGTTTTACATTTTTTTTAATATATAAATTATTTGTTTTGAAAAAAATACTGCAGTAATTATGAGAGAAGTCAAAAAGTCTTGTGGGTTGAGAGAAATTAATAAATACTGAGGTTAATTTTTTTTAAAAAAAAAAGAAAAAAAATTAAAACATTAGGATTGATATATTGAAGCTCCCACAGGCTTTGGGGGTTAAAAACCCCCTTTTGCTTAATATATAGTATAGATAGATAGATAGATTTATAGATAGATAGATAGGTTGTGATTTTTAAATTTATTTTTTTTTTAAATGTCTTCTTTTTTTTCTTTTTTTTTATTATATTAAAATTTAATATTTTGATAATAATCATATGTGTTGGACTATTCGAGGAATTAAATGTCTTTTTTTATTATTATTATATTATATTAAAGTTTAATATTTTGATAATAATCTTATGTGTTGGACTTTTTAAGAAATTTTTTTTATACTTATTCTTAATGCATTAAAGTGTTATTATGATGGATAATAATTATATGTGTTGGGAGTTTTCAAAGAATTCATATGTGTTGGATTTCAAAGAATTTTTCTTATACTTGTTCTTAATGCATTAAAGTGTTATTATGGGGGTATAACTTGGGAGTTAGGAGAAGTTAATAAATGCTAAGATTTTTTTTTTAAATCAAAAAATCAAAAAATTTAAATTGAGAGATTGAAACTCCCACAAGACTTGGAGTAAAAATCCCATTTTACTTAATATATAGCATAGATATGAAAGTATTATATTCTTCTTTCTAATACATGCATTGATTACAAAATATTATTAACAACACCTGCATTAGTTGCTTTTGAAAAAAGATTTTTTCAAAATTAAAATTAATAAAATCACACTTAAATAATTAAGTGGAGTAACTAATTTATAAACTGAATAAGACACATTAAAAAAAAAAAACATTCCTCACAAAAGTATAATTAGTAATTTTTCATTGCAAAGAGCAAGAAAAATTAATTTTAAATGAAAATAAAATATGAAAAATTATAATTGACATATAAATAACAAAATGTCTCATTTTAAAATTTTGCCTTAGGCCGCTAAAAGAGTTAAGCTGTTAGATTGAATAAATTATAATTTTTGAATTGATCTAATTTATTATTATACATAAAATATTTTATAAAATAAACAATTTAAATTATCTGATAATAAGTTTCACAAGTTGGAACAACTTTCTCCAATTTGGAAGCCCAAAACCTTGAAAAAAATGAAAGACGTGTTCTTGTTTTTGAATAGCAAGGCATATACAAAGTCAAAATCTATCCCTTCAAACTCATTTTTAATATTTTTAAATTTCAGATAGTCCTTTTAATTACGCACAAAAGAGAGGAGAGAGAGAGAGAGAGAGAGAGATTCAACAATGTCAACGTGCAACCATGCACGCCTCACTCTGATGTTATCATCATATATTAATAACTTACCAAAATCAAATTATTTATCCATCTTATTATAAATAACTTACCAAATTCAAATTATTTTATCTATCTATATTATAAATATCCTTCAAAACCCATTACACAGAGAGACCTTAGAAGGTTGAAATGGCTGTCAAACAAACCAGTTCTAAGATAAAACCATTCACTCTCTGTTTCCTCTCTTTCCTCTTTCTCTCTCTAACTCTCTTTCTTCTCCTAACACTAAATTTCCAACCAAGGCTGCCTCACCAGGACGACATTGGCTTCCTCCTTCGCCACGATGAGTACCCCGAGGTCACCCTCCGTCCGGCGAATAAAACACCTAGATGGTACAGTGTGGTTGCTCAAGAGGCCAAGAGAAGAAAAATCAAGGTTGGTCTGGTTAACATTGATGATCATCAAAGATTAGGTCAAAATGATGAACAGTTTCTGCATGGATTAGCAGAGATGATCACCGTTGGATTTGATCGTGTGGATGATGATCTCCGGTGGGAAGACTTCTTTCCTGAATGGATCGATGAAGATGAAAAGTGGGCTACACCAACGTGCCCGGAAATCCCAATGCCGCGGTTCGAGGAGTACGGTGAGATGGACGTGGTTGTAGCTAGGGTTCCATGTGGTGGCGATGGCGGTGACGATGATGGTGGTGGTGTTAGGAATGTGTTTAGATTACAAGTTAATCTAATGGTTGCTAATTTGTTGGTGAGGAGTGGGTGGGAAAATAATCAGGATCGGACGGTGTATGCTGTGTTTATCGGTTCATGTGGGCCCATGTGGGAGATTTTTAGATGTGATGACTTGTTATGGAATGAAGGGGAGTATCGGGTGTATAAGCCTGATTTGAGAAGATTAAAACAGAAGGTGATTATGCCTATTGGTTCATGTCAGCTTGCTCCTCCTTATGCTGAGCCAGGTCCGTCATTTAAATTTTTTTTTTTTGTTTCTTTGTTTTTTAAGGTGAGGATTGATAGAACAAATAATATCGATGAGATAGGATCTTTCATATATCTGACAAATAACGGTGGTACTACATGCACCAATTAGTATACATACTAGTGTACTAATTAGATTTATGATATCATTAATTACCCTATTTATTACACAAATTACAAATATCCAAAACCTATCTATTGGTACACTAGTGTGTAGACTAATTAGTGCATATAGTATTATTTGAAAAATAATTGGGCTTATAATTATTTTTTGAATATGTCAATGTTGGAAGTTAATTCAAATTTTTTAATATTGAATTAATATATTGAAAAGTTGTGTTCATGAATGAGTCTTGAAATTTGAAGAGTCATATTGGTTAGGTGGTTCAAGTGTCTTGATGTATATGTGTGAAGGTACATGTATGATTTAAGAGTAATGCTAGAGATCTCAAATATTCTACCAAAAGTTTTACCATTTTTTAATATTGAATTAATATATTGAAAAGTTGTGTTCATGAATGAGTCTTGAAATTTGAAGAGTCATATTGGTTAGGTAAGTGTCTTGATGTATATGTGTGAAGGTACATGTATGATTTAATGTCTGAAACTCTTCATATCCTTTTGTGGTGGTACAAGGGAGAAGAAGTTTGGCATAAAAAATTTGGTGTTTTTTTGGGGAAAATATCATTTTAATGGGAAATAATAAAAAAAAAAATATCAGTTTAGCGGTGAAGTTTAAGAAGTTTTGCTTTAAGCAAAGTTTTTAATTAATTTGATATTATTTTTTCTACTTTCCACAAAAATGATATTTTTTCTTTTTTCTTTAAAATATTTTTGGTCTCCACACGTCTGTAATTCAAATACGTTTTTATTTGAGTTTTAGTTACTTTTACTGCTTACCATGTTCTGTTGGCATTAAGAAATCCATTTCTGCTTGGTTTTAAATTTTCAAAAACTGTTTGCTGAGTTTTTACTCTTTTTTGTATTTTTTATTGAACGCTTTTAATATTTTAATCATTTTTTTTCAATCAACTTAATTTGGATATATTTAAAAAGTTAGTACCAAATTTGTGAATTTTTTTTAAAAAAATTTACTAAATACAAGAAAATTTAAAATTTAGTACATTTTCATTTTATTTTTTGCATTTATTTTTAGATTTATTCACAAATGTTTTAATTTTTATGTATATTTAGATTAGGTAAATCTAGAAAGTAAAAAAATAAAATATTAAAAAAATTTACTAAAAATAAAAAAGTACAAATTGAAAACTCGTTGTTTAAAATTCAAACCAAACAAAGTGATTTAGTTCCTAAACGCAATATTTTCAACATAGTATTGCAACAATTTTCAGCAGTTAATTCTTGTACATATACATGATGACGAAAAAATGTTGAAATTCATCCCAGGACATATAGCAACCTTTTTTTTTTAATTAGGGATAAAAAAAAAATTAAAAAAAGATAAAGGTTTGGCAATTAATAGCAAACCTTAGTCAAATGGAGCATTTATTAGAATTTTTGTTTCTTCAATGGGGGGTTGTAACTGTAATATTCATGATCTCTCTGTCCGTAAATTATTATCAACAGGAATTTCAATAAAATAACTATTACAGCAAAACCATCATCCGTTAGTACATCATTTAAGAAAAAAATTAAATCGATATGATAATTATAAAAAAAAATATTTGTTATCCGTTTTTTTTAAATGAATGCAATAAAATAAAATAAAAAATTACAATTATCAGTTTGATTTAATTTTTTTCATGAATGATATACATGAGAAGACATATCAAACGAATGGTTCAGGTCATCGAAATAGAATCATAGTAGGCCCCACAATCCTGTCAAATTCTCTCGAATTCATATTTAAATTTAAGAGGAGTTAACCCTTCCTTATTTATTTTTTTTATTTTTATTTTTATTTTTTGATCGGCAAAGAAAATCTTTATTGATGTAAGTATGTAAAAGAGATACAGAACATTAATAAAGAGGAACTTAGAGCTAATTGAAGCTCCAACCTCCAGTTGGTGAGAAACCAACAAAATAAATCAAGAAGAAAAACATAACAGAACTGATCATCATATCATAACAGTTGGTGTTAACCCTTCCTTATTTGATCATCATGTCATAGCATACTTTTACCCTTAAGACTGTTGGAAGAAAATTGGTCCAAAATAGTGGTTGATAAGTAGTTGTTAGCAAAATTAGGATGGATTTAGTATAATGGTTGGTGGGTTTGTTAGTGGCCAGAAACTTTTCTACATTCTAATCACTATTGAAAAATATTATTCATGGTCACTTTGTACATAAAAGGCATTTAATAATGGATTTTTTTATTTTAAAGTGATACACCTATATTATTCTGTGTATATATAATTATTGTTTTATGTTTGGATATCAATATCCATTACCATTTAAACAAGTTTACAATAATGTTAACCAAAAAAATTATACAATCTTTAATTTATTTTTAAAATACTTCATATGAGTTGGACCCATTTTATTAAATTTTGATTCACTGGACGGTATAGGAGTTGGTAGCACGTATCTTTTGCTAAAATGATTAGCATATATTATAATTGAATCTATATAAATATGAGGGAAAATATGTTGCTTTGGGTGACTTATCATAGGCTTTTTAATCAATGATGGCATGAATCATGACAAACATTTTATTCTTATACATTTGAAGGATTTACATTTTTTTATTTATTTGTATTTATTAATCAGTGAATGAATTTGTCATTTGAAGAAAAAACAAATGTTAAGCTTTCTGTGATTGATGTATTGATCACTATTAAATCCTTATCTTGTGCATTATCATTGGTTAAATGGTGTTTATTGCAGAGGTTGTGAGGTCAATCTCACCTCATTTTTGTGAGTCTTAGAGAGAAGCAAGTGGATTAACATACAATTATTAGTGTGGATTTATAAGAACCTTATGTTCATAAATGAGAAAATAATTAATTAGAAAGAGAACCGCTTGACTAGGCCTAAAAACATGATCGAATTTAAAACTGAAATGTTGATAACTTCATGGTATTCAAATAACAGCAGGGCTATTATTAAACCACAATGCCAAAGCAAGTGACAGATCAGGCGATAACTTCATGGTATTCAAATTTTGATTATTGCTTACATGGGAGTGAAACACACCTCCTTTGGCAGTTAACCCCTCACACCAAGATACATGCATGTATTCCTTTATTGCTTTTACTTGCACTGTGTTTGGTTGGAGATTTGAGAAGTGATTTGAAAAAGAAAATGGAAAACGTAAGTGAAATATGATTAAAATATACCTACATTTCACCTAATTTCACACACCTTTTTCTTTTCTCTTTCCAAATCCCTCCTTAAATCCCCCCATCCAAACATAGCATTACTATTACTATTATTATTATTATTTTTTGAAACATTTTGATTTTCATTTTAAAAAGTTGAAGGCAAGACTCATGATTAAGATTGCAAATAAACTGTGGGGGTGCTAGCAAATGATAGGATGAGCTAGTTTGGTGCCAACCTCGTTGGGATGATCTAGCCCATTGTGATGCCTTTGCACCTCCCTCTTGTCTTTATTGATGTAATTCACTTTGTACATTGTACTAGTTTTCCATCAATAAAGTCTTTTTCTTGCTGTTTCAAAAAAAAAAAGATTGCAAATAAACTGAGCTATTAGCTCAATAAGGGCTCAGTTCATTAAGTAAATAAACAAACTCGAGTCCTGCAAAGCTTGGCTCAACTCATTTGTAGCTTTACATCATAATTATGTGCAAAATGGTTTAATTCTTATTGGCAGCATAAAAATTTAAACTTCCATCTTGGTCTGATTTACATCCTCACTATTTTATGGATGAAATGGAGATTTTCATTTAATGATTAGTGGTTATATAAAAGATCCATATCAAAATCTTTTCTTTTAAATTTTAAAACATTCAAGAGAAGTTTTGCATGTACTAAATTGCCTTTCTTAATTGTACTTATTATTGCTCCTTCTTCTTTGAGCTATTAGTAATTAATTTCGATTCAAATTGAATGAAATTTGCAGGTAGGGAGGTATGGAGGCGCTATGCATCCCACTCAGTACAAAACATCACTCCTCAAAGGCCAAGAGAGGCATATGTGACTATCCTCCATTCCTCAGAAACCTATGTTTGCGGTGCAATAGCTTTGGCTCAAAGCATAATCCAAACCAACTCCACCAAAGACTTAGTCCTTCTTGCAGATGACTCCATCTCTCGAAAATCACTTCAAGGGCTTAGGGCAGCTGGATGGAAGGTCAAGCACATTGACCGCATTCGAAGCCCATATGCAAGAAAAGATGCCTATAACGAATGGAACTACAGCAAACTTAGGGTTTGGGAGCTAACAAACTATGACAAAGTCATTTTCATAGACGCTGACCTCATAGTTCTCAAGAACATGGATGGTTTCTTTGTGTATCCACAGCTTTCAGCTATTGGCAATGATAAGTTTTTATTCAACTCAGGGGTGATGTTGGTTGAGCCATCCAAGTGCACATTTGAAACCCTAATGGAGAAAAGGTACAGAGTGGCTTCATATAATGGGGGTGACCAAGGTTTTCTCAATGAAATGTTTACATGGTGGCACCGGTGGCCTTCAAAGGTGAATCATCTCAAGATATCTATAGGGGATCACAATAAGGTACATGATCAAATGATCCCTGAGAATATATATACCATACATTACTTGGGTTTGAAGCCATGGATGTGCTATATGGACTATGATTGTAATTGGGATATGTTGGACCGCCATCGTTATGCGAGCGATGCAGCTCACCAGAGGTGGTGGCAGGTTTACAAAGCCATGCCGAAGAGGCTACAATCGTATTGTGCACTTAGTGAAGGAATGGATGCAAGGATAAGAAAGTGGAGAAAGAGAGCTAAGGGTGCTAATTTTCCTGATGGGCATTGGAAGATCAAGGTGAAAGACCCTAGGCGACTTCACTCCTGATGTTTGTATTTGTAAATTAACAAAGATTTGAGGGTTCCCTCCAAAGGAAAGGTTCTGAAGAATGAATACCATTAGACATAGAATTTTTTTTTTTTCTTTTCAAAATCACAACTCAATGGTGATCTTTGAAAAAGCTACACCATCTTAATTACATATTTCACATGCAAAAAGAATTGCATATAGGTCCCTTTTGTATTTCGATTGTTGATTGATTAAAGTGCAAATGTAAAGATTGAACACACATACCACATGCGTATAAGGTCCCTTATCTTTCTTCCTTTCTTTGATTCTTTTGATGTGGTTTTTAACGTGAGAAAATCTGGGCACTCACCCACTTCGGTTATAATGTCATATATGTTCAAAGTTATGTTGCAATGTGTAAGAGGGGCTAATTTGAGCCCACTAAATTATTTAGGCCCAATAGCCCAAGATTAGTGGGCCCGAATTTATCGCAAGTCCAAGAATCGGTGGGCCCAGATTTATCGCCACCAAATGGATTGAATCGCTGTAAGCCTCGAAAGGGTTCGGGTCCACGAACCTAGAGACTTACTCAGGCCCGGAACTCGAAAGGTTTTTTTTTTTTTTTTTTTGATCAGCAAAGAAAAATTTCATTAACGGCATGAAATTAAGAGTACAGGAAGATGAAGTGCACCGAGAGAGATTCGGACTTTCTCTGATTCTTTTGATGTGGTTTTTAACATGAGAAAATCTGGGCACTCACCCACTTTGGTTATAATGTCATATATGTTCAAAGTTATGTTGCAATGTCTTTGAATTTAAACGCAATTACGCCAATAACTCATTGATTTATATTTTAGAGTAATGATCGATGTGATTGTTAGCATAATTTCAATCACAATGCAAAAATTATATTATATCATCCGTTAGTACATTAATTAATATATATGTTGGTGCGTATAATTTTATCCTTTCGGAATACTCAATAATTTTATCAAATCAAACAATAAGTCATTTTTGATTGAGCTACTATACACAATTCCTTATGGCCTCTTTTGTTTCGCGAATTAGGTTAAATAAAATTATGAGTTTCATAAGATTGAGTAAGACAATTATTATTATGATAGTATTAAGTTAAAGATGTAAGATATAATGTATTTGTTTGTGTATTAGCATAGTGATATTAGTTAATTGGAAATAAATCTATAAAATTACGTGAAGATTTTCATTCCATAAAAGTGAGTTTATTATTTTTTATGAAAAGAGGGCAAAGTGCTCTTTCACCTAGGGATACAACTTGGGCGGGCTCAACCCGAGCAACCCGAGCCCAGCTTGAATTTTTTTAAGACTTTGACAAGATATTTTCAAATTCAGTACAGACTCAGGCAAAAATTCAGAAGCCCGAATTAAATTTGGACGGGCTTGGGCAAAGATGTTGAACAACCTGAGCAACCCGAAACCCGAATTATACATATATAGATATATAAAAATATTAAATATACATATAAATTATTAGTCATTACATGATATTAAAGTAATTTAGATTATTAAATCATTTGAATATATATTATATATACAAATAACATAAACTCGTACTCTTTTTTTTTTTTCACCCATAAATTGTAAGAACTACTATAGCGGCATCTCTCTTACATTATATAAATTATTTGTTTTGATAGTATTAATGATTTTCTATATAAAAAAAATATAAATAGAGTTAAATTTTAATAATTTAATAAAGTAGCTGCACACACACAAAAAAAAAATTAAAATTCATTTACAATTAGGGCAATTCGGGCAAACCGGCCAATTCAGGTTTAACTCGGGTCGGGCTTGGACATGCAACCTCGGGTTACAATTCGGGCTTGGGCGGGCCTGGGCAGGTCTCAGCATAACTTGGGCTAGAGTTGGACAACCTCCCAACCCAACCGAATCCGCCTGAGTTGCACCCCTACTTTCACCTTCAACCCAAGAGGATTGAATTAATAATCCTAACTCCCCGATGAGAATGCTAATTCCATCCTTAGTAGGGATTGGTAGTACCATTAGACTAACAATCTCATAGCATTTTAATATAGTCAAACATGATTTTGATAGACCTTATAGATTAATAGTCCAATCACTCTACTAAGGGGTGGTTTAAGATTTACTTATTTAATGATTTTTTAACTTTTTACGAAAAGATATATAGAAATATAGAAAGGTAATATGACAACTTATAACAAATAAGTTACTTATTTACTATGTTGCCAAACCACCCTAAGAGACCAAACAAACATGACTGATAGGCGTTGACAGCAAATCCATTTGGAGTGGCCATAACACTCAAATAATATAATATATTTTAAATAATAACTTATAATTAGGAAATTTTTTTTTAAGGTCTTTACTAATAGTTATTTATAGGATAAAGGACACTAAAAATAGGGATGATGCCTCAGGTTCCTCAACTAAGAACGCGCGCATTTTTAATTCTTTCTTAGACCAAAATACCCTTCACAAATCAACTGAGAACACTCCACTGGATTTCGACAACTCAGTTCCATTCCAAACATCCAACCATCTTCATGAGCAAGAGAACATGAGAATTAGGGTTTCACAATCATCTTCACTATCGACATTACGGTTTCATTATCTTCTGCCAAAATCTTTTCCATTCCTTCCTCACAAATTTCTCTAACCCATTTTCACTGTTCATCGTCATGTCAGCTCATTTTCATCTCCTTGCATCTTCATCTCAGGGAATATCAGTTCGTAATTAGGGTTTCATCATCACTCTGGTAAGTTTTCTACAATCCAACGAGTTTTTCTATGGAAATACAGTTAATTGCATACTACATTAGCCTTTCATTAATTAAGGTTTCAATTTCGTAATAAAAATCTACATGAATTTAAAAAATGTTATTTCTCTAAATTTTGAACTTATTCTTGAAGATGTTTGCGTGGTTTTGTCTGTAAATTTTTCCGCCATTTGAATTTCTCTAGTATTTGCTTGAACTACGTTTCTTCTTTGAATTTTCCCTGGCATGTTTATTCTCTCATTTGTTTCTTTTTATTCCCTCATTTTCTTTGGCATGGTTAATTTCTCTGTATTTCTTTGTGTAATTTTCAAATACAATTCATTCAAAATTTTCTACTCTATAAATTTCTCTGGCATTTTAAATTTCTCTGCCATGTATAAATTTCTCTGGCATTTTAATTTTCTCTGTCATGTATAAATTTCTCTGCCATGTATAATTTTCTCTACATAAGCACGTGGTCACATAAACACATACGCATTTCTTTCCCAGATAATGATTGTCTCGTCGTATTGCTAGAGTTCCAATTAGAAACAGCAGTGATCAAGTACTCTTCTAATAGAACATCTAGAAATTCGTAGACCCAATCAATATCTTAGGAACTAAATCTCATATCCATATAATCACATAACAATGTTATCACATAAGTATACCATACATACAAATATCTCTGCCAAGCGAAACAAACCCATTGTGCTAATAACCACTTCCCACGTATCTAAAGTATTTAAACCTGGTACGCTTTGATACCAAGTTGTAACGCCCCGAAATAATTACAATAATCCATCCACAATATTCATTTATGATAACAATAATAAGAGAAGTATCTTCCATTAAGTCCAATGTGATTTACAAAAGAGAAACATATGCGGTATATATTCATAATGTCTAGCCCTAAATCTATAGCATATGTTGCAAGCCAAAAAGAAAGAATGGAAGGTAAGCAGATAAGAGCCCTAAGGGCTTACAACTTTCTAAGGCGGTGCTTGGTTACAACAAAAGTGGACTTAAGTCCAATACAGTTTTAAGCCCTTGGTCTATACAAAAATAAATATAACAAATACACAAAATAAGCTCTTGCTCTAAGTCCTCCCAAGTTATTGCTTTGGTGGAGGCCTATCATCAGCACCTGAAATGTTTTTCCCAAATATGGTGAGTCAAAGCCTAGTAGAAATAATCCAACACAATATATGAATCTTAATAAAGTTATAAGGTGAATGCATATGCCATGTTCTTGCCCAAAACATATTTATATCTCTTTTCAAAACTATGCCATGCCAAGTTAATATCTTGATTCATAAATTGTTTCCATTACAATAGAAAATAAGGTGGTGATTCACACTCTGAGTATTTCAAAATAATACAACCTTTTCCGAAATTTTCATCCAGAGGAAATCGTAAACTGTGACCCATGTAAACGTAGGCTATACAAACACTACTAGCCATTTCACGAAAATTTCATCCGCAAAATCGGCACCCATGTATACGCGCGATTTTCGGGACTTTCACTCTGGACACACTAGCCAACTTATTTGATGTAACGATAATTTCTTCTTAGGTTCACCCATATTATCAAAACAATAACATTTCCAATGTATGAATGTAAGATAATGCCCGATGCAAATGAATAAGAAAATAATTTCAATTCTCCTAATTCACATGTAATTTCTACAACAATCATAGTTATCCTCCATCGATAGCCCAAAACAGATATACAATCATCAACAAGGATAAACTCTTCAAATTTTCAAGAGGTGAGTGATATTACATATCTAACTCCACCATCCATAATAATATCCATCCAATTCCACATTTTTAACACTAATTTCATTTATTTATATAAAATAAACATTTGAGACATTTAGGGAAAAACCCTATTTTCTTCCAAAATATATCCGGAGTATCTAAATCAATAATTTTATCACAATTCAACCTCATTTCCACTCCCACAAGCATTTTCAATACATCCATTTAAAAACCCCTATTTTGATTTTAAATCAAAATCGTAGGTTTGTCCAAAATCTCCCAAAATCATGAGATTGTTTTATAAATATAAATAGCTAAGTTAATATGACAACCACCTCCTTAACTAAGTAAATTAATTATATTGATTATGTGCTTATTGTTAATTATGTGATTATGTGTTATGAAGTGTTTTTGATTTGCCATGTGATTATTTGAATTGTGTTATTGTGAACAGATGTGATAAAATGTAATATAAACTTGTCTGATTCAGTAATTTTAACAAATTAGTATCAAATAATTGGATAGGGAATTAGAGTCTAATTCACATTAGTATACCTAACTTTAGTTTTCTTTAAGTCATAAAATGATGGGGATTAATTTAATTAAGTGAATTTGATTAAATTAGTTAATATGATTTATTAGCCTATTTAATTTAAGCCTAATGCATGTATATAAAATAAAAGAAAAAAAGAAAAAAAATGGTAGTGTTCTACTCATCAACTTAAAACAAAAGAGGAGGAAGAGAAGGATTAGTGGGAAATGTTAGAGTCAACATTAGAAAGAAAGGAAGGAGAAGCTCAAGAAGGAGAAAGAAAGAGT